ACAAAAAAAAAGTAAAAATATATCCCCTCTGTTGTATCCGATATCAGCATGTATGCACTATCTACTGACAGAGGGTATCTGCTGTCAAAGTGTGTTGAGTAATTAGGTTGGGGAATAATAGATTTTAAGCTTAAAAAGCTACAGTCACATATACCATACAAATAGATTAATGTTAAACATGTTGCTTATATAAGGAACAACAATACAGAATTGCAAGAACTTAGTAATACGGGTGGTTATTGTACCATAGAAATGTTACCAAATGTATCTTACCACAGATATGTAACTACTCGCATTCTATTAAAATCTCAAGTTGGTTTGTTTTTTTTAAACTAGTTATGTACTGAAAATATCTGAAGGCAATTCACTGCAAGTTACCTTACTTAAACTTGACCTACCTAATTTCATGGCAGTCTTTAATTAATTCTAACTTTTTACAGAGATGGCAATTTTTATTAGTGAGTTTGTTCATTTTAACTGGACTGCAGAATATTTTGGTTTGTTTTAGTTTAGTCTTGAGACCATAAAGCTATAGTGAATTGGTTATATTTGTATAATATGTTAACTTCTTGTTGCTAGGAGGTGGGGATTTCCCTACACACCCTGCTAATGCAAAATGGAATACTGAAATATGTTAACTTCTTTAGGAATCTGGAAATTCTTCGGGACCTACCCCTGGTGCTAAGTTTTCCCACATTTTACAAAAGGATGCCTTCCTTGTATTCAGGTCACTGTGTAAACTCTCCATGAAGCCCCTGTCAGATGGACCGCCAGATCCAAAGTAAGTAGAATTAAGAGTTCTTAAAATGAATCTTTTCTATTTGAAAATTTAAAAAAATTATTTAAGTATTTTTGAGAGTACTCAGTTACTGAGAAAATAACGGTGTGGTAAAAAGAACCCAGAAATTTTGAAAAGGTACTTTTATGTTTTAATGCATCTTTTGTATGTTAAATGAAAGCAACTGCTGCTACCTATCTACCTGTTTAGACGTTTCTTCACAATGCCTATGCTTCCTGTAAGTACATCATGTTCTTTCTAAGTTGCTCTTTATAACACTTTTCAGCAGGGTTTGTGAAGAAGATCGTCAGGTATTTTTGGTCTCAGCTAATGTTGCTCTGCTTTTAAGTAATACCTAGGTTCATAACCATTGCTGTTTATGCTCCACAATTTCTTACCTCTCTTGCGTGTTGGGTGTCCAGTACACATACCCCACTCTGCTTCATCTTAATATATGCTCCTTGCTTTGAGCTGATACTGGTTATGATAAATTTGTGATATATTGTTTCATCCTTTTGCTCAGATTATACACTTTTGACAGCCTCCTTAATCAAAACACAAATGTTTTGAAAACAAAGTCTTTATTTGGCTGTTTTGGAAATCTTGTCTTCTGACTGAATATACCATGTCTTCAATTTGGCTTACAGAATTGTTCATTGTAAACAAAAAAAAAAAATACTGTCCTCTATAGATGGGTACCAGTATTAGTTAGTTGTGAGTGTTGGCAAAGAACTTTGCTTTTCTGATCTTGGATAGAATTTATATGCATATTTTTTTGGAGGTTAGGAACAATTGGTAATAATTTTCAAGAGGAATGCTTTTTTGTTCCTAAGATACTAAAACTGTAGTATGACTTCTCGTGACAATCAAAGGCCCAGTATTCTTCAAAATAAAATCAGCTTTACTGTTCCAAGGTCTAACTTTTAAAGCAGGTAACTTTAAGACAGTTTAGTTTAATCACTGATGCATGTCTTGGATTTAATGAGCTGAAAAAAAATATGATGTAGTAGAAAGGGTTTTGAAGGGTTAGTCTAGAACCATTTTCAAATTGTTATCTAGTGAGGCACTATGGAAAGTTAGGACATTCAGGAATGAAGACTGAGGCATGAGGTTTTTCCTCACTATTTTTGAGAATTTGTCTTCCAGGAAATGCCATGAAAATCCTGTGGGTTTAGTGAGTTCTCTGAGACTAAGACTGTCCATTTATTAAAGGCTTTAATGGAGTAAGTCCCTCTGGAAGAGCAGCAATAGCTATTGAGGCACTTGGAGCATTTCATCTGAATCCATGGAGTCCTTGACATAAGTATTAGAATTGATTAAGCTCTTCATGTAGAACAAATTGGAGGAAACGGCATTTAGGGCAAGAAGAATTAGCTGCACAGGCATTTGAAGACATCCTGTGTTTGGAGAAGTGCCTAGAATTTATTGGTGGTTCTGAGGCATTGATGGCTTTTTGAGCTATTACAAACATGCTGTAATTGGAAGAGGAGGCATAGGATATCTGCAGCTTATCTGCCTCTTTAAAAACCATCTTTCCAGTGAAGTTATCTATGAAGTCTTTAATGAAAATATTTTTTAGTTTTAGGTAACTGAACGTGGAGCTTTAGCTTAAAATCACAAGGCTGGGAGTTGAAATCAAGGTTATGCTTCCTGGGAACCTGCTTAATATCTTTATCTCCTTTTTCCCTGGAACAAAATAAGACTGGGGAGACATGCCTTGAAGACTCACTTAGATTTTAGTCCTTAGACTTGTTTTAAATTAAGTGGGCTTTACACATCATACAGAATTTGTAAGGCCAGCAAGTTAGGACTTCGGTTATGAGCTGACACTCACTGGAAGTAGGAAATATTTAATATTTTATTTATGATTGAAATTCTCTTCATATTTAAATTCTTATGTTTCATAGCAAAGTATGGTCTGGTCATGTGCTCTCTGCACACTTGATACACGTGATGCAAAAATCAAGCGTTTTGTGTCAAAGGAGGTTGTTATGTTAGGTTCCGTACAGCTGTGCAGTGTCCAGAGCCAGGCATTTTCTTGAAGAACATCTACAGCGAGCTGTTCGGGGCATTTACTTTGACCTGTAGCCATTAGGAATGGGAGGAACAAGTTCCTCACTCAATTTGACTGGCTATGTTTTGCTTCTCAAAAGTGTCTCCAGACAAATAGTCTCAGTTTGGGGTTATATTCTATCAGTTTGAAATGTTTGCAGATTGATTCCCCCCCCATCCCACTTTGTTTGCCAGTGTGCAGAAATCACCAAGTGTAATTGCAACATACTTGTTACTAATTTGCATTTTTGTTTTTAGCTAGACTGGAATTACTTTTTTTTTCATTAAGCTCGTATTTTTGCAGTATACAGCAAATACACAACTATTGTGTGTGTCACGTGTTGACTTGAAGTGCTCCTTACCATGTCTAGGCTGTACTGCATGAAAAATTTCCTGGCATTGTTCCTTATGTTTCATAACTGTCCTCTGTTAGTGCGTGGTTGTTCAATGAAAGCTGTGGACTGTCTTGTTGGGAAAGCCATTTGTGTCTATACCTGCTCCTAGAAGAGCTATAGTCTTTTTTGAGATGATCGGAAGTGGGAAGGAGCATCAGGAGTCTGAGGAGAGAATGCTTTCACCCAGAATGCTATTTAAATTGCATTATATTTTCATACATGCAGATTTCCTTTACACTTTTTTGTATGTGTGGTTTGGGGTTTTTTTTGGCTGGGTTTTGTGTGGTTTTTTTGTTGGGGGGGGTGTTTGGTTTTTTGGGTTGTTTTTTGTTTTGGGTTTGGGGTTTTTTTTTTGAAGCATAAATAGTAGCACTGTTCTGAACATGAATTATAGCTTACTTCAGTCTGTAAGAAGTGTGATGTTACTGTGGAGCACTTGACAACACTGCAGTTGCCTCATTTTGCTATTGCCATACTTAAAATAGGCATGTTATGTATCTTAGGTACTCCTGGAATGGGATGGGGCCAGTGACTGATAAATGATACAAAATACTGTATTTTAGAAAAGAGATGTCAGTGTTGGGAGGAAGTAGGTCAGGCAGTACAGCTGTTGTCTTTATGGTCCTTCAATTCTCCTTCCATGCTGGTGGAAATAGAGGAGGAGGAGGAATTTCCACCTTTTGGTAGTCAGAGTTATGTAGATGGGCTGGATATTTTAGATGGGATCTTCCAAAAATCCATTAAAAGGAAAGAATGCTCCCTTCATCCTCTGGCTAAGGTGGGCAGCATTGCCTACTGTTGCTGCATCTTGCGGTGCTGTGCTGCAGAAGAGAGAGTGGTTTAACAGTAATGGAGAGAAACAGTAACTGGGAAAGGTTATTCTTGCCACTTCTTGGCTGAAGAGTGACTGCTTCAGCAAAAAGGTCATCTTTTTATGACTCTGATATCTACACCAGGTTGTGTCAAATTTGAATTTATTTGATGAATGTTACACATACAAAATCATTGTGGTGTGTATTGACTTTTCAAGAGAATGTTTTATTTTTTATGACTTACATTGAGCTGATATGCTGCATTGTTTTATTCTAGATCTCATGAACTGCGATCGAAGATTCTTTCATTGCAGTTGCTTCTGTCCATTCTGCAAAATGCAGGACCTGTCTTCAGGACAAATGAGATGTTTATTAATGCTATTAAGCAGTACCTTTGTGTTGCACTGTCAAAAAATGGAGTCTCATCAGTTCCAGAAGTTTTTGAACTTTCACTTTCCATATTTCTTACCCTCCTCTCAAACTTTAAGACTCACCTAAAGATGCAGATTGAGGTACGTTACATGAATTTCTAATTTAAAGGGGGGGGGGGTGTTAAGTGAACATTGGTTTATATTTGTGTGTAGCTTGGTCTTGCTTAGATAAATTTATTTTCCTTTCTGAACCTCAGCTTTTGCATAAGACTTGCCAGATCTTCCTATGCATAGAAGCTCTTTTTCACCCAGTGGCAAAGGACTTGCTTGCAACAATGCCCTTGAAACCCCCTTCAAATAAAATAGCAGCATTTCCTTTGGAATACTTACAGATTCAGTAAGATTTGCTCTGCAACATCAGAAGTAATATGACACTTGTTGTAGTGTTGTTTGGTGAAGTGGAAAGTGATGGGAAAACTTTTGTAGGGCTGCTTAAAAAAATTTCCATCATATTTTAACTAGAATATGAAGTACCTATTAAAGAAGTAGGCCATTTCATCACTTAATAATAGACATTAACATAAACTAAGAAATTTTACGGTGCAAAACATACTTTGATTTACTCTGTGATTGAGTGGAATTTTTACAATCATAATTTACTATGCCCATACTCACTACTCTTTACTATATGAGTTAGTTTCCTTTATTTAAAAGAGAGTTTTCTGTTGGCTGTGGCATAGGGTTATTGCAGAATGATGCTGAAACTCAGAAATTAGTAGGCTTGTGGATAAGCTCAGTCAACAAACGTTCAATAATGTGATTAGGAAGTTTTAACTCTGCATGACATAGTACAAATGAAGATCATGAGTACACTTATGAAAGACTGTGTAATATATGGTTTTGCAAAGGAATTTTCAAATAAAAATTAATGACTTGAAATGCGTTGTGGATTCTGTTTGAGGTCACTTGAACAGATTTCTTTCTCTAGGGAAATCCTAGCTATTTGATTATTATAGCCACTTCCCTTTGTATATCAGGGCCTACATCAATATATATCCTGAATAAGATAATCTCATTTCCTCAGGTCTCAAAAGGTGTACACATGATTTAACTCCTTGGGCCATAAGTAGAGATAAGTCTGTATTCTTAGCAATAAGTCATCAGAATCCTGACAGACATTGCAAATTTTCCCACTGCATGGATATATTCGAAGTCATAGGGGAAACAAGACGTATGTAGAGGCTTTGTTCTTGACTTCTAATTCTTGTGTCATAGGGTACAAGCAGTTTCTTGGAATGATTCTGTCCATTTGAACCACATGGATACTATCCTCTTGTGTGTCCCATGTGTTAAAGATCTTAATTCCCTGGTGCATAAAGTAGTAGTGTGTGCAGTGTGTTCTTACTGTTCATTTTGGTAATTTTATGTTTTGGGAGTCGATGTGAATACTGAAGCCTATGTGTTGCTCCATAAATGTGGAGGTTAAGTACATTAAAAGATGCTGAGAAATGTTGATAATGTTGCTGTTACAAGGACCTTGAGTTCAGGCATTTCTTCACCTATGGATGTCATTGCGTAAGTTGATACGTTGTGGCAGCTTTGGAGGAAGAACTCATTTTGCCAGTACCATGTCAGAAGGGTATTGTGTTCTAATCACTTACCAGGTTATTGATGCCTTTAGGGGAAGAAACAATAGGATTTCCAGTATTTACGTGAGCATAGCTTGGATAGAAATCCAGGTTTGGTGATTGATTGAATGTGCCTTGAAAATATGATGCATTTTGAAGACTTTCAAGACAAACTGTGTACTCAACAAGACTGTAGCGCATGTGTGGTGTTCAGCACATCAGACAGACTGGGCCGAGCTGCTCTTCAGTCACACAGCCTGCTTCCCAGAAAGTGTTGGACTCGCTATGTGTTCACAGAGCTTACAAGTCAGGACGTAGGTGGTAACTGCATTGCAATCCGGCTTCCCTGACAGAAATTTGATGAGCTTTCATTCCTGCCATCCTTTCCCCAAATTCCAAACAGAAACTTAAGACATATCTGAGGAAAACTGGATATGGGATAGCCTACGCTATTGTAGAACATGCTAAATTAGGACCATCACCACATAGCAGCAGGGCTGCATTTCCTCCTCACAAATACGAAAGCCAAAAGCTTGATGCTGCCTAGGTATCCGTCTACTACAAAGTATGGGGGACAACAGTTTCTAGAAGCTTATTCTTTTTCCTGGTTGGGCGTTAAGAATTCCTCTTCTTTTAGCTACTAATCCTAAAGGTTATTCAGAAGAGGTGGGTAGACAAGTAGATAACTTCACATTCAGTTTGTGTCTTGGAGCTGCAAGGAGAGCCATATGCTCTGATTTATAATATGCAAAATCTATATATTTTGGGATTGAGGCTGCATCCTTCATCTGTGTAAGAAATTTTTGGCATATTTTAAAATAATAGTTTCAGATTCTGTTGAAAGTGGTCCTCCCTTGGTCCTTTGACTTAGATATTTAGCAAACACTGCCCTCTGACAGTTAAAATAGTTTGAGTACCTTAACTGTATTTCTAAATGGGTCAATGAATACATTTGCAGCAAATGAAGTCCTAGATATCAGGTGATTTGGGGTGTCATTTAGCTATACTTACCATTACCACTCTTTTATAACTGTAAATAAGCTATCTTAAAACTCTTAATTACAGTTGACCAAACTAAATAATTAGCTCTTTTCTGGTTTACTTTTCCAAACAAGGTCTCAACTCTGTGACATGAATTGCAATGAGTAACATAGTGATAGATGGCATTTTTAAGTATCTGAAATGTAAATAATCACTACAGTTATGAGAAGCTGTTCATTCCAAGATACGCATGTTGAAAGTTGACACCAGAAGCAAGAAGTCAGCTGTCTCAGACGCAGAGATCTAAAGTGTCTTCATAGTATGCAGACCTTCCAGCTAATTTCTCTTCTAGCTTAGATTTGGGTTTAATTTTTATACTTGAAACTTTTTTTGTCTGCTCCATCAGTGACTTCTTTTTTTTAAATTCTCTACCAGAAAAAAATTATTTTCCTGATTCCAGAGGGTATATAACATTACTGTCTTTCAGTAAAAAACCAGAAAACAGCAAATATGTAACTAAGGATTGCTCATAGCATCAAGTTTATTAAAATTTTATGTCTTCCTCTGTTTGGATTACATAAAGTTGTGGCTAAAATCAGTCTAGCACTCTTGAGTATATTTAAGCGCTTGAAAGTCTTTGATCTGTTATGTGTTGAACTCCTTATGTTTTGTAGGGATGCTTTTCTTATTAAGACTAGTAACTGGGATTGTGCTGTGTGCCTCTTTTTCTCTAAAGAGGCCAATAAAATGGAAGTATTGTTAGCATATTTTGCTTGAGTAAATGGCTTACCATCAAAGTTGCTTTAAAAAGCAGTGTTGCTGTTTTTCCCCGAACGTGTGACTTAAAGCAAAATTAGCCTTATGCTTATCTCTGCCTGGCTAATAGCACAAAAATCTCTGTACAAATTCTGCGGTATAAGGTATCTAATATTCAAAACAAGGGTAGTTTTATATTTGGATATTTGTGTGCTGCTATCAGAGGAGAGGAGCTTGATGGCTTGAGACTATCAGCAGTGTTCTAGAAAAACATATGTTGGTGGATTTGGTAGCCACAACTGGCTGTGAAGAGGTGAGCTCTCAGAAGTGCGGAACGGTGATGTAATGCTCTGTAGGATGGTGATGTAATGTCATGTAGCAGTTCACATTTTGAGTTCATATGCTGTTACAGCAGTTGCTGCTGCTTAGGGAAGAAGTGAGAAAAAGCCTGCCCTAGCTGCTAAGCATGCTCAGCTGAAATAGTCAGCCTATAATGCTAATGGATCTGGTGAGGAACTAACTGAGAGGGGATAAAATAGTCTCTCTTTCAAACAAAAGCATCAGTACTAAAGTGATTTCATGGAGAACTAATATTTTTTTTTTTTAGGGAGGAGTAACTTTCTTATTAATGGACCTGCTGCATTTTTTATGCTGTGCCTGACCAGTACCCTTCTTCCAATAATCTAATACCACAGAGTGATTCTTTTGTGTCAAGTTGTTTCCCTTCTAATGGAGGTCCCATACTTTAAATTGGCATAAGTGGCTGTTTGTTATGTTTGGGCCATATCATCATCTCGTACAGAAGATCTTTTGTGGTGAGGTAATACCTCTCCTTTCAAAATCCCAAATGAACTCTAACAGCAGCTTAGACCTCTTGTTAGGCTACATTGTCCTTCAGGACTTCACATCATTCCTGGTTCTTATATTTTTGATTAATCAGAATATAAATGAAATTTTTCAGCTGGAAAAAAGCACATAAGTATATAGCACAGAAGCACATAAGTAATAATTCGAATTCCTAATCTGAATGTATCAATCATAAGTTATATTTCCTCCTTTCCTGCTTTTTTTTTTCTCTCCTGTACCTCTAAAGTGCTGCTTTCAGAATTATGTCAGAATATTGGCCATCGAAGTTAGTGACTGTGTTTGTAATAGATTTTATTTTTTTCTCCCTCTTCCTGGAATATTTGTTAGGTTTTCTTCAAAGAAATTTTCCTGTATATCTTGGAAACTTCTACTAGCTCATTTGATCATAAATGGATGGTTATACAAACGCTGACAAGGATATGTGCAGGTATTAAGGACCGTTTGGTTCTAGTTTTTACATTTTTATGCTAAAGAACAAAACTGTATTTGCCTTTCAATGAATGATCGAGTTTTTGTTCCAAGTTTGACAATTATTTTTTTTTTTATAGATGCCCAGAGCGTAGTGGACATCTACGTGAACTATGATTGTGATTTAAATGCAGCAAATATATTTGAAAGGCTGGTTAATGACCTATCAAAGATTGCTCAAGGAAGGGGTAGCCAAGAACTTGGCATGTCCAATGTTCAGGTAAAAATTCACCAAACTTTATGAAGCTTCATGTTTCTTGGCATGATAGGTTAAGACTAAACTCTCCATTCCACTAATGTATTGCTTTAAAATCTTCTCTAGGAATTAAGTTTGAGAAAAAAAGGATTGGAATGCTTAGTGTCAATCCTGAAGTGTATGGTGGAGTGGAGTAAAGATCAATATGTAAATCCCAATTCTCAGACAACACTTGGTAAGACACAAGCTGTGTTTCTTCTGGCTTTAGTAAAGAGGTGCTGCAGGAGTTTAGTGCATTTTTCCAGTATTTTGATACTGTTAGTGTCCAGATTGATAAAACCTCTTGCATTAAAAAAAGCGAGAGAATAAACTTTTTTTCTTTGGTAGAAATATTGGTAAGTTTGGATTGGTGACATTTGAACAAGTTGTCTTAAGTTGTCTTTTCTTAATTGTATGAATTCCTAGAAAGTTACTACACTGAAAATGACTAAATCCTGTTATTTTCTGTATTTCTAATTTTAAAAAGATCACAAAGCTTACGTTCAAGCTCCCCTAATTTCATCTAACTTCATATTGATTAAATTACTACTGAAGCAAGCTGGATGGGGAGCAATTTTTTTATTGATTAATATATAGCTATAGAACTTTCAGTGTTGTAAGCAGTGAAGTAACTAAAGCATTACTTGTTTTAGTATTGTTTCTGTCTGACCTGAGATGAAAAGCACTAAGGTTATGCCAGAATTTTCAGATTAAGTGCTTAAAGTTGGTAGGTTAAGTAATAACCTTTTTAGAGGTGGTTAGCATGGCTGTCTTTGTGAACTGAGAGCACCAGCTCTTTGGCATGTCTGATCATAAATACTTTTAGGCACTGTGTTTCAGAAACTTAGAATAGTGTGATTCACTTCAGGTCAAAAGTAACATCGAACTTGAAAATAAAAGGAAAGATTGGTAATTGGATTTCTAAGGTGTCATATATTTTTTTCCAAGTGCTTACAAATTACAGTTGTAATCTAAGGCTTAAATTTCAGGTATGCAATGAACTGAAAGAATCCTCCATGCTATATTGTAGTGATTTTTTTTTTTTCCCTCAACCAAAACGAAAGCAGAATATTTATATAAAATAGATATAAAATAAATAGATCATTGAAGATAACCCTAGTAAGTTATAGAAGCCTTCAGAGAGCATTTGAAGAATAACCTGTGCTTTTAATTTCTTTTCACTGTATGTATTTTGTATGTAACCCTTTCCAATTTATAGGCCAAGAAAAACCCACAGAACAGGACAGCAATGAAACCAAACACCCTGAGACAATTAACAGATATGGAAGCTTAAATTCCTTGGATTCTACGGCTTCATCAGGAATTGGCAGTTACAGCACACAGATGTCTGGCACTGATAACCCAGAGCAGTTTGAGGTCCTAAAGCAACAAAAGGAAATTATAGAACAAGGAATTGACTTGTGAGTGCCCTTTTATCACCCATGGGAGGGTGGATTCTTTTGGAGCTATGAAGATTCCTGGGTTTTTCTTCCTTCTCCTCATAGATACTCATCTTGTGTTAGGAAAAAAACTCTGGATGTAACAGCACTTCCTCTGGTGAAAGAGTGCTGAATGGTGTCCCCTTTGGAGCCTGTCAACAGTGTTTTGTGTTAACCTAATTCCTCACAGCTAGAAGATGAGTACTCTGAATGTTTGTTCTTTTTTCTCCAGACCTGCTTGTCTAAAAATAAGATTTTTATATTTGGATAAAAAGAACATTGAACTCGTGTGATCAGTTGAATACGACCTGTTTTAGTGTACACGTTACTGCTGAAAGTGCCTATATGCTTAAGCTGATCCTTCCTTCTGATTAATTAACTTGTCATAATTAGAACTGGAGGATAGTATAATTTCTCAGTGCAGTCTGACATGAATCTTCTGTGTGATTTCAGCCTTGTCAGCTTAGCTCCTCAGTGAGGTCACTTCATGCAAAAATAAAAGTTTCCTGTAGTATAGTTCTCAGACCCTGAACAAACATGCCTTAGCTCTTTAAGGTTTCAGTTTCTTTCTGTTGCCTGGTTCCTTGTCTTGTACATTTCCATTCTTAGAGGTAACGCATGGATTTCTTGATTGTTTCATACAGATGACGACAAAAAGCAACAGAGCATAATTGTTCCTTTCCAAGCCAAGACTTTGCTATTTCTGTGGAATATTTTTTTTCTTCACAAGTGCCAGAGTAAATGATAGTGTTTAGCTCTCTTTACTGGGAGCTGCTTGGATGCCATGCTGGCAGTTATGTAGCAAAGAGGAAGAGGAGCCTGTTCACGGGGTAGGGGGAACATAAAGTCATCCAGTGATGAAGGGAATAATCATAGAAGGGAATAGCTCCTTCCTATCTAATACACAGTTTGATAAAGGAAAAATATTTTAATACATAGATTTTCAATACCTCATCCCAAATTATTGAATCTTTTAAATTAAGCTGTTAAGGCTTTGTGCATGCGTAAAATGGTTAACTCTCATTCCATCCTGATCTTGATTGTACAGATACAATAAGAAACCAAAGAGGGGAATTCAGTACCTGCAAGAACAAGGAATGCTTGGCACTACCCCTGAAGATATTGCTCAGTTCTTGCATCAAGAGGAAAGATTAGATTCAGTAAGAAAACTGTTTTCCTGATGGTTGTTTTTGCTTATGCTGATGTTTTTATACTAATTGCAAATCACATGATAGCATTTTAAAGTGTATAACATTATTGTACAATGAAGAAAAGGGAACTTCTCTCTTCTAAAATTTGTAAGCTCAAGGAATTTGAATTGGAGTATGCATTAGAGCTATACCCTGTATTATATGCATCCTGCAGTTCAGTGAAGTGTAATGGAAAAGACTGACCTACTTGAGCTGACTCAAAACTTGTACTTAGTTACTAGTATAGCTAGAAGCAACTTACTAAACTGTATGTGCTTTAGTCCAATAAGGGACTGCCAGAAGTAAGTGTCCTTTAGAGACAGCTAAAAAATAACGTGGTACAGCAACATGAAAAACATTTTTTGCTGCCTCCCAAAGGAAAGTTATTTAATCTAGATTAGTTCTTTCATTTTATTTACAGCCAGCAGCTGTTGCGGGACTTGGAAGGGTCCTGCGATATCTGGCTGAGGAGGGTGGGAATATCTCATGTTGGTATTGTCATGAAAAACTTAGCTTTTTGAAACAGCAGTCTGCACCATTGTGCTTAGTAGCCACCCTTGTTGTTTTCTAGGGAAAAGCTTGCATATGCGCATACTTGCAGCTGTGACTGAAGTCACAAATTTCAGTATTGGAGCTCAGAATCAGCCATCAAAACAAATTTTTAACCGCAGTTTACATATACAGGCATCTTTATCTGAATGCACAGTATTTTTCACTATACTGTGTTGCATTGACAGTGATCAACATGGGTGTATTTGAGTACCAGCTATTTACATTCGAGCATCACTTGCATCTGTTTGAGATATGTACTTTAGTGGGAATAAAGTTGAGTTTAGTAAGCTTTTCATTCCTGTACTAAGTTTCCTAACTACAAAAATCATTACAGCAGAGAACAATCAATCATTGGTAATAATAACTTTGTCTTGTGCACATGTGGAATTCATTTAATAGAAAAAAATGGTACATGCGTAAAACCAGAGGAGGAGGAAAGTAGGCAGATATGAGCATGTAAGAGCATTATAATGGAATATACGGCCAAAGTACTTGGCTTTAGAGAGCAGAGGAGAAGCAGGATTTTGTCTTAGTTAACAGCATAGAGGCCTCTCTTTTTGTGAGACATATTGGCAGTATGACTCTTGTTGTTCTTTCTTACTTTTTTTTCCCCCCAGTGTAAATGCACTAGTTGTCTTTTCTATTTTTATTTTAGACTCAGGTTGGGGAGTTCCTGGGAGACAATGATAAATTTAACAAAGAAGTCATGTATGCATATGTAGACCAACACGACTTTTCAGGAAAGGATTTTGTTTCAGCTCTGCGCATGTTTCTAGAGGGATTTCGTCTTCCAGGAGAGGCTCAAAAAATTGATCGCCTAATGGAGAAATTTGCTGCTAGATACTTAGAATGTAACCAAGGGTAAGCTATACTTTGTCTTCAGAACTTTGGAAAGCTGAATAATAAGTAAAAAACCCTATTATGTTACATTTGCTGTTCTTTTTCTCCTTTCTCCCGTCAGGCAAACTCTTTTTGCTAGTGCAGATACTGCGTATGTTTTAGCTTACTCAATTATCATGTTGACAACAGATCTTCACAGTCCACAGGTATGTTGCTAGAAAAATATTTGTGTAATCTATAGACATCTAACTTTCAGGCTTTGTGAGAATGTAGTTGTAAAAGCTTGATGTTCAATTTAACACCAGTATGTTTGTAAGAAATATGGTAGCTTAAATGTGTGCATCTTTAAGTAACAGTATTGTTTCATGGGTGTTGAGATTTTTAAGTTGTTTTGGTTAGACCTTTCTGTAAGGTATCATGTCCCTACTCTGTGTTGAATAGAAATTGTGTGGATTTGCCTTCATATTACGGCACTCACAGTAATGATGTAACCTACAGTCAAACCCAGAACTTTTGTAATTACTTACCAGGTGATTTTAACACAAATCTGCTCCTGATTTCAGTCTTTTTGAAAAAAATAACACAGCTTTGTTTTGATAAATACAGCTAACTTATGCAGTGCATAATATTCAAAGTTGCAGTGATAAGACATCATGATTTACTTAAGAAAAATCTGGAAAGAGTATTGAACTCTTAAGGGATTATGGGATTATGTTTAAAATAGATAGTCTGGTCTGTATGACAAGATAAAAAACTTTTTCTTTTTTTTTTTTTTTTAAATGTATGTCTAATTGATCTGCGGATCCTACTGAATGTTCGTGAGTGTTGTAATGTCCGCATGGCCTTGCATTATTTTGTAGATTTGACAGTGTAGTCTTGCATATGTTGGATAGTTAAAAATGTCTTCTGAATCAGCAGGTTTGTCTTTGCTGGTAACTTTTCATCTGTTTGGCTGCTTTATAGGCAGCATTGTAACTGCTATAAACTTGCCTTATTTGTTGATATTAATAGCTTTTCTGGGTTTCAGGTTAAGAATAAAATGACAAAAGAACAGTATATTAAAATGAATAGAGGTATCAATGACAGTAAAGATCTCCCTGAAGAATATTTGTCTGCTATCTATAATGAAATAGCTGGAAAGAAGATTTCAATGAAAGAAACAAAAGAATTAACAATACCCACAAAATCCAGTAAACAAAGTAAGTAGTTGCAAAGTTAGCTTTATTTAAAAGTGTTGGCTCTTCAGTTTCATGAAGCTATCTCCTTTTCAAAATGAGAGATGAATGAAGCCAAGCACCACTTACTTAACTCAAAATGAGTCCTAACTTCTAATTTCATATCCATTAACATAAATGCACGATTCTACCTTCAAATCTGTGTTAAATGCAACTGCTTATTTTCACTTCTCTTTGCATCTGAATTCTTGGTATTCAGTGCATTGACCATGGAGAAGACAGGTTTTGCTGTGGAACAGCAGCATAGGGAAATGCTTATGAGGGCTTTATGAAGTAACAGTGTTGCTGATGGGCATAGTGCAGAACAAACACAGTAACTGTGCCTTCTATTTCTAAGGTAACGGTGGTGTTTTTCTGCAATAACCAGTCTGTCATCTTCAAAAATGTTGCATTATTTGGTTTGTAGGGCCCTAATTTATGCACTTTTAAAATTAATTATGTTTTCCTCTTTCAAATACCAGAAAAACTTTTTTTGTGTTCTGCACAATGTGAAGATTCAAATGTTACTCGTTTTAGCTTTTCCCCAGAGAACATTGAGACACTTGACTTTTTCCCAACATAGTCAAATTTGTATACTTTTACATCCTAGGTTAGCCTCATGAGCAGACTGCTTACAAGAAATTTGCATCTGGAAAAAAGAATCCCTCTTATTTTCAATATTTGTTTGATTAACATAATGTTAATCATCTTTTATTGTAATTTTAAAGAAGCTGATTATTACATTCTACTTGGGTTTCACTTTCTTGATGAGATGGAGTTTCCATTATTGAAATGAAAAGGTGATTAAGGTAGTTCTCCCTCAGAAAAAGGATGTCCACTTATTTTTATTGTTATTTTCTGTGCTGATGGATTGCTATGAAACTTCTGTTCACTTTGAATTTAGCTTACTGGATGTGATATTTTTGCTGTCAGTTGAGGTGATGGAGAAGAAATGTTTGTTGTGCCAATCTTAAAATTCTGTAAAGGTTTAAAATTAGGTTACATTTCATATGTAAGTTTGCCTTACGTTAAATTTTATCTGTATTGTAAAAGAGATATATTGCTGGTTTGGTAATTTCAGAAAGTAAAGATAATATAAAAAATGCATCTGAGTATGGCACTGAATGAAAAATTTAAAATTATTATATTCCTGAAGACACCACTCCTAAAGATGCACAAATGAGAGGAAAAAAATGTGTTTACAGGTGTTGCTAGTGAAAAGCAGAGAAGACTCCTATATAATTTGGAAATGGAACAAATGGCTAAAACAGCTAAAGCTCTTATGGAGGCAGTGAGTCACGTTCAGGCACCTTTTACTAGTGCAACACACCTGGAGCATGTGAGACCTATGTTTAAGGTGAGATACATGTTTAAATGTTTACCTAGAATATCAACAGAGTTCCTTAATACAAAATACTGACAGGATTTGTTGAAAATACTAAAGATTTGTGTCTGCTATGTTTTGATCATTTTGTAAGTTATTTAACTTGCTACAGGAAAGAAGGGATTTTGAGCCGTCTACTCCAGTTTTGTTTACCCTGGGATTTAAGAAGTTTCTATGCTGATAGCAGCAGCATCTTGATATAATGGAGGAGTCATGAGGAGTATGTCGAGGGGACAAAAGTACAGGGAATAGTTAAAAATTTGAAATGATAGGATTTTTATTTCAGGTGTAGAGGTGTAGTCAAAACAGCAGAATTATGAAAATGAGAAATGTTTAATCCCAGTTCATTGTTTGAGTCCCTCCTACTCCTCCTCCTAAGGGTGATTACTTCATTGCATTTTGGGGGAGCAATTATCATAACAAACTTCCGTCTAATGTTGTGTCTTGCAAATTAATATTTCAGAAAGGCTAGGACTGTCATCTAGTTTTGGAGGAGGTAGCTGGACCCTGTATTATTAAACCATTATTCTAAACACCTGTTTTCACAATTGCGTAGGTGCAAAGCTGTCTGCATCCTGAATACTTTTTCCACACCAGTGAGTCAGATTCGTAGATAGAAAGTCTGTTCAGTAGTGTATTTTGCCGCAGTATGCTATTGGACATGGTCTTTGGCATAACTAACTCATTACAGCTAACTGCTACTGAAATAAATTGTTGCACCCTTACTATGCGCTCTCATCTGCTGCCCTTGTGCAAGTAGTGGTACCCATATGACTCCTTTGTGAACTGCTCCAGGGAGGTAAGGTCTCAGACCACTACCATTATAATAAATAAATGGTTCCCTGGAGTGATGTGCTGCAGCGTCAGGTTGAGCTCCGGGCCCAGGCTCACAAATCATAGAATCATTTAGGTTGGAAAAAACCCTTAGGATCATCTAGTCCAACCGTTAACCTAACACTGCCAAGTCCACCACTAAACCATGTCCCCACATGCCACATCTACACGTCTTTTGAATACCTCCAGGGATGGAGACTCTACCACTTCCCTGGCCAGCCTGTTCCAGTGCTTGACAAACATTTTGGTGAAGAATTTTTTCCTAATATCCAACCTAACCCTCCCTTGCCGCAACTTGAGGCCATTTCCTGTCATCCTATCTCTAGCCACCTGACAGAAGAGTGTCAGCACCCACCTCACTACAACCCCCCTTCAGGTAGTTGTAGAGAGTTATAAGGTCTCCCCTCAGCCTCCTCTTCTCCAGGCTAAACAACCCCAGTTCCCTCAGCCGCTCCTCACAAGACTTGTGCTCCAGGCCCTTCACCAGCTTGGTTGCCCTTCTCTGGACACGCTCCAGCACCTCAATGTCTTTCCCGTAGTGAGGGGCCCAAAACTGAACACAGGACTCGAGGTGCAGCCTCACCAGTGCTGAGTACAGGGGAACAATCACCTCCCTGCTCCTGCTGGCCATGCTATTTCTGATGCAGGCCAGGATGCTGTTGGCCTTCTTGGCCACCTGGGCACTCTGAGGATCTAGCTGTAAGATTGCTGTCCATGAAACTTCTGAGTTCTTTTATCACCATATTAGTAAAAGTAGGATAGTACTCTGTACAGAATAATGCTAAATGAAGCCCTTGTTTAAGATCTGCTGTCAGGGTGTCACTTGAGAGAGGTGTACTGGACATAATTTCTCTCTCTTGACTTCTTTAAGGCTGAAATGAAATAACTTGCATGCAGACATCTGTAAAATTCATAGACTTATTTTTCCTTAAGATACCAGCCCTATTACTCTATAACATTCCTAGCATTTAGTATTTGAAAAGTACAATTGCAAAATCCATTGTCAAAGGATCAAACTATGAAGCATCAGGGTAGATTAACACCCTAAATGTCTTTTGTGAATGTGCTAAGAATTAGAAGTGTTTTTACTTGAGGAAGTTCATAAACTAATTGAAGTACTGAGGACAATGTAATATGTTGAACAGAGAGCTGTCTTCTCAAAAAAGTGAGAACTGTGGAAGTTAAATATTTAATTTCACATTTTTCATTTAGAATTTTTAATTTTTATTTTAGCAAAACTTTATATAAATTTCTGGGTATCTCTTTCACCCATTGATGCCAGCATAAAACTTATCATTATAACTGTATTTACAGACAGATTTGCTAAATGACTAAAACAGAAAAAAAATGTACTTTATACATCCCCTAAGCAGCCCCAAATTGATTGTCTATTTTAGAGACCTAATTTTCACCTTTAATGACAAAATAGTCTATTATAAATAACAGCATGCATCTAGTTATAAAGCATACTATAAAGATCTCTACATAGTTCTTAAGAAAGTATTAAGAAAGTTTTGCAATTTTTAAGATTAGTTTTGGTTTCAATAGGAATGAAAAATTAGAAAGGGGAGGAGAAGAAACATGCACTTCTGAAACACAGAGCCATAGAAGAGTTTGGGTTGGAAGGGACCTTTAAAGGTCATGCAATAGGGGATTAAGTCCTGGATCTAGGAATTTGTGTGGTGCCTTTAATATTGTCCCAGAGTTACGGTTTGGTGTGTGCAAGTGTTAAATGCTTTTCTGAGGTAGTGCTTTTGGAATTGCTGGCTTAAATGAAACCAAAGCTCTGTGGTGCATCATTTTATGATGAAATTAAGTGTGATATCTGTTGCTCCCTCCTGTGCCCATTGACTCTGTATTTCATCTGGGGAGACTTCAGGTAAAATTATTTCTAAAATTATGCTGAATACCCTGGGGTTTTCTCTCTATAACCACGTGTAGTTACAGCAAGATCCTCTGCATCTTCTGACTGGTTTTTCTGCTTGTGGGAGAGGGAGCCTTGACTATGAGGAGGGGACCACATGGACTCTCCTGCAATAACTTTTAGTTGAGTGTATTACACTCTGAGTCCCACCTAAGGCAAGAGGAATGGGAAACATCAACAGTGGCTTAGATGCAAAAAGGTGGAGGGCCGAGGGCAACAAAATTAACAGCAGAAAAATCAAGGAAAGAGTCATGTCCTGTCTCCTACTGTTGTTGTCTAATAAAGTTTGCTGCCCTATTTTACCCTACCTCTTTTTTTTTTCCTTCTGGTGTTATCAGGACAAACTTGTCTTATTTAAGTACATACTTTTCATCATAAAAGAATCTATTATACATTGTGTTGGTTCTTGCAATAAGTATTGACTATTTCTCACTGTGCAAAGATAAAGGTCACCCCAGCAATACCAAAACTCCAATAGACATTTAACTGACATAGCTTTGGGGTTTGTTTTTTTTCCAGCTATCTGAAGATGGTTGTGTGTGTTGGTTGCTGAGGGAAAGGGAGAGTGCTTCGGAGGGGAGCATCAGTCTGCATTATTTCTATCCTATTCTATGTCTCATGTCTCTTCTAAACATACTTCTGTCCTATTCAATGTCTCATGTTTATTCTATTCCATTTCTTTTGGCAAAAGGCACCTTCAAGGTTAATAATGTGAATTAAGGACGGAATTTACACTTTAGCAAGACGTTGAAACTATAACACTCCCTTCAAGTACTAACAGTTGCTAATGTAACTTTTATTTTGTGTACATTCCAGTTGGCATGGACACCTTTTCTAGCTGCATTCAGTGTGGGTCTACAGGACTGTGATGACACAGAAGTTGCCTCTCTTTGTTTGGAGGGTATACGATGTGCAATCAGGATTGCTTGCATTTTCAACATTCAGGTAAAAAATTTAAGATTGAGACAATACTTTGATTTATGTTCCAGCAAATGTTAGTGGGGATCTAAGAGTCCTTGTTGCTGAAGCTATGCACTGCCATACCTAGGGGCTGCCCGCTTCTGCAATTACTACTTCATCTGATACTTCATTGGAGGTGTTTTAAATAAAGTAACCTTTATTTTTCCTGGTGTTTTGTAGTAACTGCTGCCATGCCTGTGTACTGAATTTTTGTTTCCCCACAAGTTGACTACTTTTATGTCAAAGTACTTTCTTTCTAGTTTTGTTCCAAAACTGTTTAGCTTTGTTCTGAGGTTTCATAAAAGAAGTCTTTCAATCCTGTTTCATATGTAAAATAGTATCTCTGTGAACTGTGTTTGAAATGTTGTTCGCAACTTCAGAGAGATTATACTAATCTGAGACTTCTATAATTGGATGCCATTTTAACAGTTATGGCACTGGAAATGTCATTCCTGATGTAACGCATGAATGTATCTTGCATCAAGCACAATGCCAAGAATTCCAGACTCTCTGGCTCCAGAGCTTAATTCTGATTAAATTTGGGTGGGCTTTTTGCTTCCCCTCCATTTTAAAATCATCAGTAGTGAATATAGTATTATGTTATTGCAGACTATTAGTTAACAAATGGACTACTGGTCTGCCATAAGCCCATTGTAGGGGTAGCTGAAGAGAGGGGCAAGCAAAATTCCTATGTTTGACATTGCATTATTTCATGCGTACATTGAAAACATTTTAAAAAAACCCAACCAACCAAACCAACAACCTTATAAGACTAACTTTAAGTAAAAACTGTTGAACTATGATACGATAGTGAATGCTTTGCTTCCCTCTCCCCTTGCACTTGTATTTAACAAATTAGATAACTTTTTTTCACTAATGTGGAAATGCACAGTGGGACCTCTGATACAGCTGCTTAAAAAAGCCCATCTGAGATCATGTAAGGTTTCCTTCCTCTGTCTTTTCACTTCATTTTCCCTCCCACCCCCACTCTGAACTGAACAAACTTAAAAATTTGATTAACAAAGCGTTCCCTGGAGCCTGCAGCTGTTCAATGAAATTCACGTTCCTGTTATTTTTGTTTCTAATCTGTGAAAGTGAAACTGGTACAAATACCAGTTTCAGCAGCTGCAGAGGTCAGCTCCCAGTCTTGCAATGTTCTGCCTTGAGTGGGGAGGACAAGGACACGTTTACACTAAGATCCCCATGCTCCAAGGTTGTACCAGAATCAGTCGTGCCCTTCCATTGCCTTAGGACAAACTTGATTGAACTGGAGGTGTTTCAAAACCAAAACTTCTCATTTGCTGAAATGTAAAAACTTGTTTTTGTATTTTCAATATAAATGATATTCCTTCTTGGTTTCCTATGGGAATTCTGTTTTGTTGATATCGTTAAAAACAATACTGGTTTGTTGATGATTTCAGTACATTACAGGATGATTCCATTGCACAAGTTCCTGATTAGACAGCAGTGTTGTCTGACTTCAGATGCCAGATAGTTCTGGTGGTTTGAAGGAGACTGGAAAATCTGTATAGGTCTTTTCTGTTGGAAGCAGGTTTTTCCTCTTGTGCTTAACTGGTGCTGGCAACTTTTCTATTTCACTGAATAAACATACGGAAGTTAAGATTGGTGTCTAAGAACAGTTAACATTACACACTTTGAGAGGTAATCGAGGGAACTGGAGGCTTTTAGTTTTAAGAAAATTCCCAAAGTACACAATATAGTTTAAGCTATGCATGTTCACTTCTAAAACCTCAATTAAAGATTCTGTTTTTAATTATTTATGCTTTTAATCTTAGACTGTCACACAGTCTGGCTTTTGTCTTTAAGCATCTGGGACAAGATGTGTTTCAAAAGGATGTGCTTAATTTGCTTGTATCATCCATTTTTACCTTCTGTTTGATGGACACATTGTTTAGTTGTTTTTCTCCTACTTTGATGGCTTAAAAAAAGGGGTAGAGGGGGAATATCTGTATGGAACACAGAGAAGGAACGTAGGACAGAAAACATTTTCATTTTACAGAAGATACAGAGTTTGTAGACTCTAAAGCTTCTTTGCTTAGTACTCTTTCCATGAAACTGCCATATTTCTGTGTTTATACATCATTTGCTGTGCCTTTTGCCAGTGGACCCTGTAGTAGTAGTTGGCTTTGAACACAGCAGCCATGCTACGTGGCTCTGTGAGAATCCATCCCTTCGATCATTGCCACTGTTGTGGCACTTGTATTTTCTCTATGAAACACACATTCTTCCTGGGATTTTTTTGGAAATATTTTATATGTGGTTTTATTATGTGCTCGGTGATTTTTTTTTTTTATTTCAAAATAGTCTTAAACATCCAAACAGTTAAATATATTTCATAGCTGTCATTTGTTTCTCTGTACAACCATTTCGCTTTACGGCCTTGGATCATACATAAGAGGACAGTAAAATGCACTTCTGAGCTCAGCTGTAATCCCCTTTTTACCATTGTAATAAATTCATATGAGATCTGAGGAATTTCCTTTGGTGTTTATAGATACCCTATACATAAAAATTGGGTACTTACATGTGGAATGTTCTTTTTTGTGAGATTGTTTTCATCTGCCTAGATTATAGGTCACTTGCTGTTTGAGGTGCTCCAAATGGTGTAGATTAAATCAAGTATTTTGAGCAGTTTTGTGGAATTGGCAAAACATGCCTTTTAGATACATTATTTAGATTCTGTTGCCAAAAAAAATCCTACAACTTGAGAGAGTCTGCTAAGGCAGCATTTTCAGAGTAGGTCCAGGTATAGTAAAAGAATACTAAAAGCTTAGCTAAGAAGCCACATTGCTTCTGAAACAGCATGCTGTTCCCCAAAAAAGCCCCCCCCAAAAGACCAAACCGAGAAACCTAACAACCACCTCTGTGTTCTATGCTGTCAGACATACACTTTGTGTTCCTGAATAGAGGGAGCATGATTTTATCCCACAGCTTACTCCAGAAGAACATAAGATGTTTTCACTATGTAGAATGCTTTGGAAATTAGTTCTAGGAAGAGAAAGGTAAACAATATAGTTACTGGAATCACACAGATTGTACTAAGAACAAGAAACTGAGAAAATACTTACAAGACAATTTTTCCTTTTTTTTTTTTTTTTCCTCCCATTTGTAGCTGGAAAGAGATGCCTATGTCCAAGCATTAGCAAGATTTACGTTACTTACAGTGAGTTCTGGTATTACTGAAATGAAGCAGAAGAATATTGACACAATTAAAACTCTCATCACAGTGGCTCATACAGATGGAAACTATTTAGGAAATTCCTGGCATGAGGTACAAGAGTCATTTGTACTTAAACTGTAAGAAAGCACATGTACTGATTTTGAACACAGTAGTGTACTTGTTTGTGCATAAATACAGTGTTTTTTAGATAAGTGCCAAGTATATACTTCTGTACATAAAATTGTGAGAGACTAATCTGATAGTATTTAAATTAATATTCATTTTAGACACAAGAATAGAAATACTTGCCTGACCTTGAGTGTTTAGAATTCTTTTTTTCTAAAGATCTGCCTAAAGATTTTTATTTATTTATTTTTTACTATTTCAAACTGCTTTTTGTAACAACTTCTTTATTCTCTGGAATAGATTCTGAAATGCATCAGTCAACTTGAACTGGCACAGTTAATAGGAACTGGAGTAAAACCTCGCTACATCTCAGGGACAGTACGTGGCAGGGAAGGTTCTTTTACTGGAACAAAAGATCAGGCACCTGATGAATTTGTGGGGCTGGGACTGGGTAAGTAATGCAGATATGAAGTATTTAATTTAACTGGCATTGTTCAGACAGATACTAAAGTTTGTCCTTTGTTTTCGTTATTATTGACTGTGAGGTTCAGAGATGAGACTGTGAAGTAGTCCTTGTAAAATTGTTGTAGGCTTTGAATAGACCTATTCCTGTTTCTGGAATATTTGTTTTACTCTGTTAAGTATTATTGCTAGAATGGGAGAGTGGGAGATATAAGAAAATGATACATTATTGATTTTTATTAAAATATAGCTGACCAAGTAAGAATGGATTGCTGATGGTATGACCAGATTTAATAATACTGCAATGTTAGTGCACAAAGTATTTTACCAAATAGGCAAGCTAGTATGTGTAGGTTAAGCATTGTGTTATGAAACTTTGCAAGAAAAACGCAGTATTCAATCCAAGTGGGAGATTAGTTTAGCTTAAATTCTGAAATTCTGTTTCCTCCTCTTCTGGTTACTTCGGTACTCAATAAGTGCTTTTTTTAGGTTGGCCTAAGAGCCAAAATTTACTCCATTAATGAGATGTTGTTTCCTATCCTCCTAGAAAAGTATACCAATCTTACCTTAAATTATCTTAAAAATGTTGATTTCATTTTATTTATTTATTTATTCATTTATTTAATGGGAACACAGTTAACGACATACAGGTGTAGGGCATTAGGAAACTGTGGAACCATCAAGAAAGTATGTATAACTCCATTTGACTGTTAGAAAGTCTCAATTTTAGTATGATGCTCAGTATCTCCTGCCTTTTGAACAACTTCACCCGCAGCCGAGCAAAGCTTTGTGTTCCCTCAATTTTTCCTGTAACTTTTTCTAGGAGTAATGATTGTTTCGCTAGTTGCCTTGATCTTAGCCCTCAACTAGTCCTAATCATCTGGCTTTGTGTTCTCCTCAGACAGTTTTTCTTATTCTGCAGTCAGTCCTTTTCTTTCCATTCTGCTCTCCTTTGGCCTGCCTCTATGTACTCCCCTCACCTTGCCAAGAGCTGCTGAAGGGAAACCTTATGCCTGGAAATTAATGTGTCTGCCAACATCTCATATACTGAGCTTCTTCCTGCCCTTCTAATATGCATCCTACAGTTTAGTGTTCCCTGATGACCTATCCAACTTTGCTATTTCCAAATGCTGGCAGTTTCTCTATGCTGAAATGACTGGCCTTTAAAAATTTTAAGTCCTAATAGCTGAAGAATGTAAACTGTAGTCAGGTGTCTCTAAATCATACTTGCTAGTCGTTGGTGTAGATCCAGCTCATAAAGACTTCTTTCCTCTCTTGTCAACTACATTTCTAAGGAAAATAGTCTATACCCAAATCCATAAAATGTTTCTCTCTGAATTGAATTTCTGGAATACTTGTTACAATGCACATATGGAAACTTAATGGTTTTCTTTCTTTTTTCTTTTTTTCTTTTTAATAATAATATCACTTCAGTCTTACAGGAAAATGCCTAACTCAAAGGAATTTGGTTTTCATGCACTCGGGGGCTGTTAGAACATAGTCATTTTCTCAACTCTGAAATTTTTCACTCTTCTCTACACGTCCAGTGTTGCAGATACTTTAATTTTCTTTCTATAATCACTCTGAAGTATCCTTTGGAACTATGGCTTTCAGGCAACCTTCCTATAAACCTAAATTCCTTTGAAAAACCCATAGTGCATATGTCCATATATACAGGCACATATTTTATAGGAAAATAGTTGTCTAATTAGAGTAAGTGAAGTTGCAGGCTGGTGACACAGAAGCTTCATCTTTCAAACCTGCTTGCAAAATCAGACATGCATTCACTCTTCACTCAAAAGCAGCAGCATTCACTCTTCCTGCTGAAGTTAGAATTGTGTGGTTTTTTTAAAAAAAACAAAACAAAATCAACCCCCAAAACACCTTTGCTTATTTGCTGCCTGAACAAGGATTCAGGTGTGCACTCTTCAGGCATCTACATTTGAATGTCTTCATCGCTCTTGCATTATCTTCCTGCTGTAGCTCTTTTTTGTTTTACTTGAAAATTCAAGGCATCACAAGCATGTGGGTTGTAAAAGTAAACAAATAAGCATCTATTCCATTGCTTCTTTGGTAGGAATGTTGTCTGTCTTGGAGTTGTAACTGTGAAGTTCAGCTTGCTTCTGCTGTAGTTTCTATTCACAAAGTTGAAAGACAAAACTTGGTGCTGTGAGTAGGTCATAGCTAAAGTGTACTTCTTAGGTAACCAGAAATCCTCTTGGACAATGGGAATCTGAGGAATCAGTTTTACATAAAGCAGAATTATATAGGTGACTGTTTCATTGTAAAGGATGTCATAACTGTTGGAATATAAATCTGCTATCTGTTCAGGTTTTCAAGCATTGATTATAAATCCTACAATAATAAGGAATTCTCATGTAAACTGGCAGAGTTGTAAGGGTTACCTGACTTCTTGGAAACAGCCCTTCAAACTCACTTCACACAGCTGCTTGTTTGATATGTTTCTTAGCTGAAGCATTACCAAGATTAAAGCTAATTGATACTTGTAGCTTGTGTGCTTAGAAGAGAAGTCTTGGTCAAACCCAACAGTATTATAAGTTGCTGAAATACTAGTATAAGATTACATATGTATGCACAGAAAGGTTACTCCATAAATGCCTTAGAAAAATACTTCAGATGGGTCAGTTTATCTGGCTTTGACAGCCAGTCATCTCCAGCCACCTCCAAGTGTGAAGCACAACAAGGCTTAGAGGCAGACTTTTGGGAGTCAGTCTGAAACATGAGAACTTTTTGTCTCTGCAAAGCTCTGAGAACAGAACTGCTGGACTTCTTTCAGTCTTCTGTTCTCCCCTACCTGTCTGACAGACTGTTTAAGAAAAAAACCTAAATACAGGGTAGGTGGAATTACCCAGAATGGTTGCAAGATTCCTGCTCTTTTTTTGATGGGGGGTGAAGGGGGGCTTAGAGATTGCCAGGAATTTCAGAAATTTGCTTGTTGTGAAGTTAGCATTTTCTTAACATGATCTTTCGCAGGTGTGCATTACAGTTACTAGCCTCCAAAATAAATATTGCTATTTTTAATTATAGGGTTTTTTCACTACTGTAAGGTGATAATTTTGCTGTACTTGAGATGTAGCTTTAAGATGAAGTTTTGGTGGGAGCTCTTCTCTGTGAATGATTAAAAAGAAAATCTATCAGGATAGATTTACTCACTTGCTGCTAATAAAGTGTGGGAAGTTCTCCTCTGTGCAGAATTCTCTATCATATGTTGTGTATTTTCAGTGGCAGAATTACCAAAGATCCATTGAAAGATGGAGAGAAAAAGGTTGTTCTTGTGCTTTTGAATTTTTTTCACTTTTATCTATTCACACAATTGTTCCAAATGTGGATGATTTTCTGGGACTAATAGTTTATACATGGATAGAGAATCTAGAGAATTAGGATTTAAACCAACATGCAACTGTTCACTGAGATGCCCAGCTGTCCTGGTTTCAACTGGGATAGAGTTAATTTTCTTTCTAGTAGCTGATAGTGTTATGTTTTGGGTTTAGTATGAGAAGAATGTTGATAACACACTGATGTTTTCAGTTGTTGCTAAGCAGTGTTTAGACTGAGTCAAGGATTTTTTCAGCTTCTGATGCCCACCCGGCAAGAAGGCTGGAGGGGCACAAGAAGTTGGGAGGGGACACAGCCAGGACAGCTGGCCCAAACTGGCCAAAAGGGTATTCCATACCATATGACATCATGTCCAGTATATAAACTGGGGGGAGTTGGCCTGGGAGGGATCGCTGCTCGGGAACTAACTGGGCGTCAGTCAGCGAGTGGTGAGCAATTGCATTGTGCATAATTTGTTTTGTATATTCCAATCCTTTTATTATTTTTATTGTCATTTTATTATTGTTATTATTATTGTTATTATTTTCTTCCTTTCTGTTCTATTAAACTGTTCTTATCTCAACCCACGAGTTTTACTTTTTTTTTTCTTTCTGATTCTCTCCCCTATCCCCTGGGGCAGGGGACGGGAAGTGAGTGAGCGGCTGCGGGTTGCTGGCTGGGGTTAAACCACTACACCAGCTTATGCAAGGGAAATTAATAACTTCTCTTTTTTGTGAATTAAAAATGCATTTAATTGTACTGGTAGTGGCACAACTTCTCTTCTTCTTTATTCCTAGCCCTTTCTGTGTTATCTCTTACGCATTTTTCAAATTTTGTTCACTAGTTGGTGGAAACGTGGACTGGAAGCAGATAGCAAGTATTCAGGAATCCATTGGTGAAACTAGCTCCCAAAGTGTTGTCGTTGCTGTAGACAGGTATTGTATTAAATTTGCTGTTGCCACTTCAAGGTTTTTAAGCAATATTTGAATACCCTGTGCTAATAATCGGACATTATTACTTTATCCCTATTTGGAAAAAATTACATAAATATTATCATATTAAAGTGCTTTTTGGTTTTGTGGTTTTTTTCCTTTTTTGTGGAGCAGAAGTAATTTTGCAAGAAGGAACAGAACAAAGATTAAGCAAGAAGCCTTTTTACTGATATAAAATTATTGCAGGAGAGTTGCAGAATGAAGACTGCTGTACTGTCCGGTGACATATAGCAAATAGTAACACATAGCAAATCTCATTTTGCCTTAGTACAGGGAGCATTACTGACAGACCCTTTTTCTCCTAAATATAATTACTGACTCCCTGCTTTCCTCTAGATTATGTAGATATTGTCTGAAATTACCAAAATTATTATTCGTCTTCTTTTCTATGAATCATATTTATCATAACTGGATTTCATCAGGCGTAATACATATCATAAACATTCCCTGTTTATATCGTAAAGTACTGATCAGACTGGAGTGTTAGTGGATCTTGCTCTCTCAGCATATAAGAAATCAGAAAATGTCATTTTCTTAATGGTTGTCAAAATTGACAATCACAAAGGGGTATCATTCTGAAGGCTTACAAGCATTCCTGTGATTGAGTATAGACAGCAAGATCGATGTCAGTTCAATGAAAGTTGCCTTGCAGTAAAATCACATCAAGCGAACTGGAGTCTTAATGTCAAACGGATAATAGCTCTTTATGTTTGCAGTATTTCTCCCCGCTTCATAATGAGAAGTTTTCAAGTATCTATTTGTCATGGCAAATAGGAATTGTGTAGTCTGGAGAAGTTTGACTTCATATTTGGAGCAGGGCTGAATAGTTTCTAAACTACTGACATTATTCATCAGTCCCTGTCAATGAGAGGATAGGAATAGCAGCGATGCTCACCTCCCAGCCTCCATGCATATATTAAATATTAGAAATAATTGAAATATTTCTGATTTTATTTTCAAAGCTCAGTATTTTTCCACAATTGCTAATTCTATGTATATTTTAAAAAAAACTTGAATGCATGTTTAATAGGTGCTTTTTTAAGAAATTGTAACAATGTCTTAAACTGCACTTTACAGAATATTTACAGGATCTACAAGGTTGGATGGAAATGCTATTGGTAGGTTTTATCTCCCCCCTCCCCCCCCCCCCCCCAACCCATAAAGCAGCTTTGTCTTAAACCTTGGAAAAATATTGCATTAAAATTTGTGGTCATTTAACAGTGGATTTCGTTCGCTGGCTTTGTGCTGTATCTATGGATGAACTGCTGTCTGCTACCCACCCTCGAATGTTTAGTTTGCAGAAGATAGTAGAGATTTCTTACTACAATATGGGCCGGATAAGGCTACAGTGGTCTAGGATCTGGGAAGTTATTGGAGATCACTTTAATAAGGTATCCCTGTTAATGATTATATTGCATACTCCTTGCATTGATACAATTGATCAACAATTGATACAATTGATACAACAGATTTGTTGGAAGAGCATGTGCTCATCTGAGTTATACTATTTTTTCTGTCCTTCTGTATAAGTAGCTTAAAACACAACAAAAATTGTAAAGCTGGAAGTGGCTGCGAGAAGACAGAGGTACACGATATAATAAATGTAAAAGCAGGAGTACACATTAAGTTATTTATCATGATCTGGGTCTAGAACTGGCTGCCTTTAGTTATGTTTTCTTACTTGGTGAGGGGGTTTATGAAGCTTGGGATAAGAGGTTGTTTTCTGTTTAGGTCTAAATTGACTATTTATCAGGTGAATGTTTGACATGCATTTTTAATACAGGTTGTTGAAGTCTTGCTAGATAGCTTGCTTATTTTTAGAAAGTTTTAAATGCTAGGATATATAATGTAGACAGTAGCTGGATTTGGTTAGGGATTCTTGAATTGCATTAACAATAAGGTTTATGGAACTGGCTCCTGTTTAATTTTGTTAATTTTCCAGTACTGCTTAGTGCTCCGTTATCAAATGTAAAGGCAGCTTGGGCTGAATCCATAAGAATTCTGATGCAAGCTTACTATGCATTTCTATTCTATGTTATCAGGTTGGCTGCAATCCCAATGAAGATGTAGCTATTTTTGCAGTAGACTCATTAAGGCAATTATCAATGAAGTTCTTAGAAAAGGGAGAACTCGCTAATTTCCGATTCCAGAAGGACTTCCTAAGACCATTTGAACATATCATGAAGAGAAACAGGTAATAACGTACAATTAACTGAGTCGCCTGGGATCATAAGCACCAACTTTTGCAATTAGTGTTTCAGATTACTTTTGTAAAATCAGTTGCTGGAGAATGATACTATTCTAATTGATTGTGTAATACAGTTGAAACAATTATTGTTTATTATTTTATTTTAGGTCTCCTACTATTCGAGACATGGTTGTACGGTGTATTGCACAGATGGTAAATTCCCAGGCTGCTAACATTCGTTCTGGCTGGAAAAACATTTTTTCAGTATTTCATCTGGCAGCCTCAGATCAGGATGAAAGTATAGTGGAACTTGCATTCCAGACGACAGGACACATTGTCAGTGAGTATTGACGATATTCAGACATCATGAAAGTGTATGTGACTCCAGAGGCTGAGAAGCTTTGTTTAACTGTTGGCTCTACAACCTGTATAGTAAAGCCCGCTTCATGCTTTAGAACCAATGTTTTACACTTTTCAACCAATCCTCTGGGAAAAGTACTTATGAAAATAATTCAGTAAGTTTATAGTTACCTCTCTTCCTTTATGCTTTTAAAAAAAAAATTATCAGTTTGTAGCATTCTGTAGTAAAAACAAGTTGAGCCTTAGATAATTTTACTTCATGTGTACATTTTCATTTAAGTGAAGAATTTTATAATTTTTTTCCCTCAGAAAAAAAATTGTGTAGTCATTTTACTATTATGTTGTTTGCTTATCTTTTTCCTTGTTTCTGAATTGTGCTTGTCTATGGCCCTGCTTAGAAGAAAGTGCTAAGCTAGGTGGCACTATGATTTTTTTTTTTTTTTTCTTCCCCCCTCCTTCCCGTTCTCATCTAGATCTCAGGCTTTAAGTGCCATAAGGGATCTCTTTATTCTGTCTCAACCTCTGTAAGTTTCTAAAACTTTTTCAGCATTGATGAAGAATGTTTTTTTTCCTCAAAAGTGACTATTTTAAATCAAGGCAACAGGGCCATATTGCTGAGGAAGTCCTTCTGTAGATGCAACTCTGTGCTTTATGTAGCCCTCTTAAGCTCTAATCACATGGACTACTTATTGTTAAGCAGTAAGCCTATTGCTCTGTTCTTGCTTAACGGTTAAATTTCCCTCCTTTAGACTAGATGCTACTTTGATTTATTTTAGACACTTATTTACTGTCAAAATAGAATGCCCTCTAGCTGATTTTTTTTTTTTTTGGTTGAGCATTCACTTTTCAGTTTTTATTACTACTTAAGCATGTGACAGCACCAATCAATGAACCAGTCTGTCATGACTTCTGTTACAGTCAGTTCATATTAGAATTAATAGATGTTAAAGCATGACACTTTTTTTTCTTCTGTTTACACTTTTCTCCCAGCAATTGTGTTTGAAAAACACTTCCCAGCAACCATAGATTCATTCCAGGATGCAGTAAAGTGCTTGTCTGAATTTGCCTGCAATGCAGCATTTCCAGATACCAGTATGGAAGCGATCCGCCTCATTCGCCACTGTGCAAAATATGTATCTGATAGACCTCAGGTATAGTCTGTATTAACTAAATTATAAGTGCTTTAATCAATAGTGCTTTTATAAAGAAAAAACCACTTGTGCTAACCTTACTGGCTTCCCTTCAGGTTTCAGAGATTAATGAGAAATGTACTTTATTCAGAAGCAATAGGAGTATAAAATGCCACAGGCTTTGAAAGTATCAGCAATTTATTTCTTTTCTTTTATTCCCCCTTGCCTATCCCCATCCACCCAGTTCAGCTGGTGGCTAGCTTTCCTGAGAGCTGCTAGAAATCAACGTATCTCAGGATCTGCTCTCTACTGAGAAATGTTGTGAAGAATGGATAATGGCATATGCAAAAATGCTTGATATCCTCAAAATATTATGGTAGATCCTCACTTCCAGTACTGTCTCTATAAAAAGAGAGTGACAGACTCAGACTGAACTGCAAGCAAAAACTGATGCTTGAATGTATCTTCTCATTTATTTTTTTAGTTTATTTTTCATAATATACTAAGCACTACTTTGAAAAACACTTCACCTTCTCAGTATTATTATTTTGATTGCCAGCTCCCCTGAGGTATTGGGGTGTAATACTAGTACAGCAGAGATTGTTATTTGCAGTCCAAACTGTGGTTTATTGTGAAGAATCTATAACTGTTACGACTTTGTATAACCCTGTGTTTTCTTCTAAAGGCATTCAAGGAATACACAAGTGATGATATGAACGTAGCTCCTGAAGACAGAGTATGGGTGCGAGGATGGTTCCCAATTCTATTTGAGTTGTCCTGTATCATCAATAGATGCAAATTAGATGTAAGAACCAGGTAACAATCAGTATTTGTAATTCAAATTTTAAAAGGCTTACTTTACACTTTCAAAATAGAAACAACTCTCTTAGTAAATGTAATGGTTGTAAAATGACTTATGTATGTAATTTAGGTGATATTACTGTGGGAACACCAGACTTTTTAAAACCTTTCAAATAGATGCTGGAATGTAGAAATTAAGTCTGTGTTCTTTATGTATGAAATTTTTATCTTCCATTATAATAAATAATGAAGTTATGTGGTTGTGATTGCATTATGTTAAATAGGTAAGTATTACACTTCCTTAGAGTTGAAATTCAGATAGTGCCTGTTCAGGATGAATAGCCATGAAATCACAAAGATAATTATTTAAATAATTCATTTGAAAATAAACTAAAGCTTAATTAAGTGAAAATATAGTGAGTGTTTTCTGTTTATTATAGAACCTGTAAACTATTTAAAACAGCTCAGCTCAACTTAGTCAGATGCGATGGATGCAGCTTTTAACTTTCCTAACATACAACAAGCAAGCATTATTTTAAAGTGGAAGGTCAACTATAAATGGTCAATATGCATTAAATTCCCCTATCCTTCCTCCCCTTTTTTAAATAAGGTATTACATTGGATTAATATCCAAATCTGTATTTTTCCAGTGGCAATACTGATCCTCTCTATTCATTAGTAAATATAAATGTATGATGTTTGATTCCATGATATATGCCCCTGTTACATATTCCATTTTAGTGATTTGTCATAGTTGACCGGGGTAAGCCTCGTGTCATATTTCTGGTTTTGCTCTGTTTAAAACAAATGTAAAATGCTCCATGCAATGAGTAAGTTTTGTTTTAGTGTACTCCAACAGCAAAATTCTGTTGGAATCTTTTTTTGGTTTTAATTAAAACTCATGACCCCAGTCCTGTCTGCCTTTCTGTGTCTTGCCCATCATACTAACTTTGAGGATTTTAAAACTGGTTTTATATCATGACTCATTAACTGGTTGAGGATTGCAGAAACAGTTGAAAAAGCAAAGCTGTACTCTGATTTGATGTAAAACCTGCTTATTTTCCTTGAATATAGCTTTTCCCTTATAAAGTGTATTCTGTTGCAGTTCAGATGCTAAATATGAGAGGTTGTATACAAATAATTTTAAATTTGCACATCTACACACAAGCTGTGCATCTGGACTCCCTTTATAGCTGGTGAAGATTAATACTCATTTCTAGACCTCTGTACTTCTTACCTGGAAATACTTGTTCCTTTATTTTTGTGGTCCTTTGTAAAGAAGTTATTTTCCTATTTTAATTTGAAATTACCACAGTTCCCAAAAGTATTTTCTGGCTATTGCCTGTGATTTTTAAGTACTTTTTAAAACAAGCTGATTTTCTACTTAATTTTAGTATACTAGTGTGACTGATCCACATCAGATTAATGTATAATGTTCTTAACAGTATTTGAGTTTGTTATTGCTGTTGCAGTTGGACATACATGGTCTAGTGCATGTCTTTTTGTAACTCTTAATATATATTCTTTCTTCATTTCAGGGGCTTAACAGTAATGTTTGAAATAATGAAAACATATGGCCATACTTACGAAAAACACTGGTGGCAAGATTTGTTTCGGATTGTCTTCAGGATATTTGACAATATGAAACTGCCAGAACAGCAGACTGAGGTGAAAAAAGCAGGGGAAGATAATTTACATGAGATCTATATTTACAGTAGGAAACTCAATTAGTAATATAACTTACCAAGTAATGTAAGGCAAACCCTAAAACTTGCATGGTTGACCTGTGCTTCTAGTCGCCTTACTTTATTTTATTAGCATTCTGTTAGAGGTATTGTCACTTTTCTCATTTTTTTAAACCATGTGTATAAAAGGCCTGGTAGTTTACACTATGAACAATAGAAGAATAGCATAAAATGCAACATATCTAGGGTTTGTAAGAAGAATTGCAACTTCTACACATGATGTCTGGAATCTGAGACATGCATAATTTCATGGCAACATGCATGCCGAATGGGTGAGGCTTGTAATCAGCAGTGAAGTCACAATTAGAAGAAATAAGTTCTGCTAGTTCAAAACTTTCTGATGACTAGGAAGAAAAAAAACAACCAAACAAAAAAACCACATAAAACAACACTGTGCTTTCACTGCACCCTTTTGACCAACCAAAGAGGTTTTGACCTGCCAAACCAGGATCAGGTACTGTCTTAACAAGGAAGTGAAACAGAAATGGGCTTACTAGTATAAGTTACGTGTAAATTATTAATATTAGAAGTTTGCTAAAAATTGTCAACTGTTTGAGAGGCTCTGTCTATTTGTAGAAAGACGTGTCTCACTTTCTAAATATTTATTCACTGGAAAATATTTAGAAGAGACACAGAAAACTTAGCTTGGCGTTAAACTATTGAGCTAGGGTTAGACATCAACTTTAATGTCAAACTCAATATCTCATGATGGTAAGTGTTTGTCAGTCTTATAATATGGTCTCCAAGAATAGTTGTTTGTCTGTTTCTGTAGTTTTTTGAACCTGCTAGTTAGCAAAGCAAAAGTTGGGACTCCCAAGTTTTGGGGGTTTTGAGATATAGAAAGGAATTGCATGTCACTATAAGGCAATTCAGATTGAGTAAATACATATATCTGCCTGCCTGCAGGGATGTGTATCCTAAAAATGTCACCTTAAAGTTATAACTTTTTTTTCCCCTCCTAGAAAGCTGAATGGATGACAACTACTTGCAACCATGCACTTTATGCAATATGTGATGTATTCACACAGTATTTAGAAGTACTTAGTGATGTTCTTTTGGATGATATATTTGCACAGCTGTACTGGTGTGTGCAGCAAGGTAGGACTATACCAAATTATGTTAAACGATGTTAATATTTTACTGTGTCGAATGTGAATAAACAAATGCACTGTTCATCTTTTCCAGACAATGAACAACTGGCACGGTCTGGTACAAACTGTTTGGAGAATGTTGTCATCCTAAATGGTGAAAAGTTTACCCTAGAAATCTGGGATAAAACTTGTACTTGCATGCTGGATATTTTCAAAACTACAATCCCTCATGCGTAAGACAACTGTTGATATTTATACTTTGCAAAATAGTTTAGCTAGATGACTTACTGATTTCAAACTGTTAGATATCTAATTGGTGGGGTGAACAAAAAGCTGTTATGTGTGGACTAAATAGAAGCAGACTTTCTTGGAACATAATGATAAATTAGGTGCTAGATATACTACTTCTGTGTTGTAAATGATAAACTGTTAAAAACTAGAAATACCATATGGGAGATAAGAAAAAAAAAAACCCACAACCTAAAACTGTAACTTGAATCAATTTTACAATGTTGGATTTTTTGAGAAGTACCATCTGATTTTTTGGTCACGTTGTTTTTGTAATAGAAGAATGCTATTGATAGCCAGACTTCGCAATTTGTAATTACATGTGAAGCTTTTTCCATAAAATACTGCAACAGTCTTACAGATTTAAGTCTCTGTGGTTGATGGATAACTACCATCATATGTTCCTATGAATCCTAATCTTTTTATGAAAATTATCTTGCATATTTGGTAACTGTCTTTCCCTTCGTGTTATAACTCCATGTGAAGTTTCTTGGAACAAGGCTGTACTATTCTGAGTAGTATGTTGTACATATACATCATAGAGCAGAATAACAAGAAATCGTGTCCAGCATTATACCAAAGATGAGGGGTTTTTTTCCCCCTATCCTGCCAACACTGAGGTGAAACACTACTTGTTTTCAAATCTGATAGTCTTAATGTTGAACTGTTGTATGATTACTTGTCCTGTGTCTGTCAACTAGTTCATAGCATTTGCTTCTGGGTATCACCTAGTTCAGGCCTGAAGAAAATTGAAGCAAAAAGGAACCTTCTGCATGTCAGTCATTCCTTTATTTTAGAGTTATGTATCAGCACTGTAAGAGAGCTTCATTCATGCTTAAAAGATGAGTTAATCCATCTGTCACTACCTCACCTACTTTTCTATGTGAGTTGATATGAATTAATTGCATCCAAAAAATAATACTAAAATAAAGCTGAAACATCTGGGAGCTAGCAAAATTTTTTTTTTTTTGCGTTTTTGTAACTGCCAAAAATAAAATCTGAAGCCAAATCTCTGCATGTAAAACTCCAATTGAATTAGCCCTAACTTACTATGTCCTGTACTTGGAAAGGTTTTGAAGTGAATACTTACTAGCGGAACATTTGCTTTGGGTTCCACATATGATCAAAACTTAGGTTTCCGGGTATTCTTATAGCTGAATATTAAAAACCCTTCTAGAGCAGCATTTTGGATATCTTCGTATTTAGACACATGCAGAATACTCTTGTTGCCTTTAGCTATATCTGATTTGAAATATGTGCATTATTCCCTTTGATGTTTATGGCACTTCTGCTTTTCAAATGGGTTATTTTTCCTATGAGGGTATCTGACTCCTTCCTTAGATTTCCATTCTTTACTTCTCATTTCCTTTTTTAATCTTCTATGCCTTCTTTGAGAACTTCATTATATTATTCCTATTTATATTTCTGGGAGGTTCCCAACTTTTGCGGGATAAAGTAAATCTTACTTGGATTTTATACATCAGTAATCCCTTGAGCATATGTAATGAGTCTCCTTTCCCATGGTGAAAGTATGCCTGCACTTTTCCAAACAATTGTTGGGTGACACAAAACTGCTGAAAACAGTCTTTTCACTTTGACCATATTTGATTAAAGCTGAAGCTTTTTAGATGGCTAAGAAAAAATTATGATAACAATATACAGGTATTCGTTTATCTTTTTAATGGAGACTTTGTACTTATTTTTTCCCTTCCCTTTCTGAGCCCTAGGAGGATACTTCTTTCTCCTTCTTTATAGCTCCTTCTTTTTTCCCTCTTTTTATGGGATCTGGTTCTTTTTCAGTGACTCTTTGTTTGGCTGGCATTTCATATTTGTATTTCTTAGTACCTCTGTTAGCCTTATTTTTGCAGTGGAGCTTTTCCTGCCCTCCCAGCCTAATTTTTTTTTTTTTTTTTTTTTTTTTTTTTTTTTAAAACCATTTTTTTTACC